GCCTGACACATTTTAAAATTGCTAATTATCTGCTCGTTGATACTAAATAAATACAATAATCGATTGGTGATACATACCTTTSATTTCAGTGTTGCGTCTTTGAGTTATGAAGGCTCAATTTTTCAATATATTAATGACAATGGCGTCAAGGAAGGCTTCCTTAGATATTCGAACTTTGAAGGAGTCACTTTTTAAATAATGGTTTCATGACATTTTACGGGTAAAAAATTATCGTATAGGCAATGTATTACCAGATAGCGTTCATGAATTCTTTTCTTCGATCGAGAATCACTTGGTGTGAGGCGTCTTACGTACTTTTACGATTTTTTGATATTCTGTGCCTGGCATTTCCTAGCTCCATTTTAAGCTTGAAAGAAAAAAGTTAAATGCTTCGAAATCGTAGTAACACTAAACGAAATTAAAAATGTTTCAGTAAAACAATGTAATGCAAATCATTGATATACATTCTTCCATAACTTTGCTGGCATAGTGTTTTAATCAAGGCTTCCATATTTTCCAGTTATGTCTATTTCAGCCGGCATCATCTTCCATGCAAAAGTGTATCAATGTGGTATATGGGGTCAGGGATCAGAATTCGTCAATTATTTGGAATCGGTGATCCGAGTTTTAGATTTTGAATTGGGATCAATATCTGGGAAAATAGATCACAAAAGTTATTCACGAATGAACAATGGTCCGGATCAAAATTGTCCTTATTTTGGGATAAGGGTTCGGACTTTCAGCCCTCTACAACAAAAGTACCTCCGGATTTTGCTGTCAAAAAATTGCGAGAATTCAATGACAATGCTCGGCTCTTTTTAGGTTTGACTTTAGAAGTCGATATCCAGCAGCATGAGTATATCAATAAACTGACCCAAGAAGCTGGTGCTGTATTRCACATATCACCACGTGGTGACATGCCTTTTCCATACGAAGAAGGAATCGATCTTGCACCTGGTTTTTCCACATCATTAGGGATGCGATTGGTAAGGAGAACTTTTAACAAACTATATATGATTGCCTTTTTTGTGCATTTAAAGGACTATAAAAAAATGCAATTATTTATTGTAGCAAGATGCTTAAAACCCTAGACCCCCTAGTAAATGCTGCTCTTTCATAGAATGCATATGAACACGCTTTCACGCAACATTGAAAAGGCAGGCGGAGGGAGAACACATGCATACATAGTTCTATATTTCTYCCTATATTTCGTTCTCCGCTATAGTTTAACAGATATAAACTCAAATCAATTATTACTTGCCAAATTCATTTTATTTTTAATGTTTTTTTTTCACGTTAGATTCGAATTAAAAGRAAAGACAGGTTTGGGAACGAGTCTTGTATTGCAACAAACAAGGACAGCAATGTAAACTTGTACGCCAGAAAATTCAACACTTCTTACTCGACGATGGTAAGGAGGATTTTTAGGGAAAAAAAACCCTGATAAACGTAAAATCGCCCCATGACACGGAATCCGGAACCCGGAATGCTCCAAATTCTGTGTGTTTCATGGGGCGAAACAAAAATACCCTGATTACATGTACATACATCCATCATTGTTACCTCCACTCGACAGCGAACAGAAGTAATGTGCATAATGCTGTTTTTGTCTGATATCAGGCATGCATCCAGTCATGTATAGCTTCCAGTCAAAAGTCAGTGTGTGGATGTATGGARTACAAGTACTATCCTAAGGACAAGATTGTATGTGACGCATTCAACACTTCAACAGGTATTGCAGGAACTACTCTAGAAGGAGAGGTGAAGAGGAGGGGAGAATTGTTGTTAATAAGATATCCGAAGGATGTTTTTCAAGGGAGGGGTTGCAGGGCTTCTGGAAACCCCCTTTCTTAGCAGGCAAAGTCTTTGAAAGGGGACTTTTTTGCCAAGTCAATAGTGTATAACGCAAGCTGGAATCACCCCTTACATTCACGATATTTTAAATACTTTCAAAAATCTATGAGTGTCACGGTAGCTGATCTGACACAATCGTACAACTTACACTGTTTTGTTTCAGCTAAAATTTTGATGTATTCCAATTACTTTGGATTTTTCCAATGTATTTTCAGTATTTATCAGTACAATTACCCAAGTAGATGATGTGTGCAAATATCTTGACGAAATGTCTTTTTAATAACCCATGTTCGTTTTTCTGGTTGAAAATTGGTCATRCAAAAAAGAATGGAAGACRAAGCTTCAGTAGAAAGCAAAAGAATTATTTATTGTCCACTGAGTCTCGCCTTCAATTCCTTTTTGCATGGCTATCATCAACCGAAATATTGAATATTGAAATAGTGAAGGTACATTGGATAAGCTTTTCGGATTTGATATTATAGTCTCAAATGAGTGAATTTCATTTTAATTAAAATTCTTAGTTAATAAATCTGGTTTCCCCAGTTAAATGCTTAAGAAAAGTGAATCGACTAGCCAAGGACAATAAATTGAATTGTTCAAAGAGTTGTCCACCWCCTTGCACGTGAGTACAATCACAGTTCTATATTTCTAACTGCGCTTCAATAAAAATTTGAGTACACCTATCAGCCTTATYGCTGAGGAGCTAAACCAAAAGCTTCATATTTCAAAGCTACATTTTTTATCAGATTACATTCATTGCCAAWCTGAACTCACCCAAGCTSTTAGGGGCAAGAAATATGAGCAAGAGGTGCAAAACCAAACACGTAGCCAGTCGTTACTCTTCTTTTTTCCTCTAGTGCGCGCAAAGGATCAAGGTTTCGGAGTTCCCTTGATGCAACGCGAACCATAAAAAGATAGCAAAGAAACGACTGGGTATGAGTCTGAAGCAAAACCTCTCAATTTGTATCGCAATGTCAAAAACGCTGCCTACGAACACAATGTGATATATTGTCCGGTGTTGAAATTAAACCGAGGCCTGTCAAGCTCTCCAGTAACCATCAACATTTGGCAATATCATGAGGAAGMGCGACTTATATAAGAATTTTTAGCTCCTTCTAAATCTGTTGCTTTGACAGACAAAATGTGTATCAAGCGACGTCTTCCTTCTCTTCGTGGCCTTCGGAAAATTATCAGGTAACATCACTTTTAAGTCAGTCTGTTTCTTGAAGTATTTTTCAAGTTTTTCCAAAAATTTTTGAAACTTCAAATTTCTCGGAAATGTTAGGGATGTAACAGTCCATACGGAACTCGTGGATCGGACACCAGTAGCTGTAGTGTAGACGCCAGGAGACAAGGGACAAATATGGATTTCCTAGACAGTCCCTAAGGTGTTTTGGGACAGAGGGTAGAAAGGAKACATGTCTTATTGCAGCTTCAACTGCCCTTSAGACTGTCCCATGAGGACAGGGGATACAATAGGGCAGTCATGGACATCCGTGGGTGAATCGGCATTCCATATAATATGGATTTTTGCCATATATTGAAAATTAGGTGACTTCAAGTTGATTTTCAATCCGTCAGATTCGATATAGAATCTTACTTTACGTCAATTCAGAGAGCTTGATAATAAGGAGTACGTTTTTGCTTTTATTAAGCTGTGTTTTTACTTTCTGATACAAACTAAAACTCTTTAATGCTATTTTTGAAACATCATCTTCATTTAGAATATCTCTATTTCTATTCTTTTCCTTTTTCAATGAGTTGATTTTTTATCGTCCTTAGAGTGAAGTCGTGGCATTGATTTCTTTGCGTCTACTTGACTATTACTACACAATGATGAAATCTTGTTTCGCGTGTTTATGATCCACTCCCCTCACTCCAACTTGTTATATAGAGAATACTATATGGGCGCGCGGAGATACGGATTTTATCTTCTCGTGTTGAAAAGATCTCTGAGAGATTTTCAACACGAGAAGATTAAATTCGTATCTCCAAACGAACATGTAATATTCTATTTATCATGTTATTGTATACGACAGCAAATTTTGTCGTAAAATAGCTTTTTTTTCTTACTTCCACTATACAGAGAAACCGTGAATGTGCTATTTTCACTAGTGAAACATGTTATTTTCACTAGTGAAAATATCAAGTTTACGAAATGGAGAAATATAGGAATTTCATAGATAATTTTATTACAAATAAAGTTATTCAATTATGAAATATATTGTACCCTCCTAATGCCTGATAATTGACTGACGTATGCCCGTTCTGTATGTTTGTTAAATAGGAAGAATTTGCTGAAGAAAGGAATGTATCAACTAAAGAGTTAAGGCGAGTGAAGCTTATACTAACTTATATTCATGATAATTCAAAAAGCAATGTACAGCCATCTTCTAGAGAGAAGCATTAATGTAAAATTAGTCCTCKCGCGTTTTAATAATCCCGTCAATCCGATTTAGAGTTTTCTTGGTACTGCTATTTCTTCARAGGAAACAGAAAACTAATTTTGAGGATTATTTCGGCTGCATTTCTTATCGTGCTTTGYTCTAATAATAGGCATCCCTGTGCAATGTTTCTTAGAAATGTCAAAATCACAGAACATGAAAACCGAGACGCAGAGGACGCATTACTGTGATATGATATGTAAATGAGCCCCCTTAAGCGTAATTGATATGTATATGAGGGGTTGCAACTTAAAAAGGGTCTTAAAGACTGAGACCCCTTTGATGACGCAACAGTTCTATATGCAGACCAAAGTAAAAGATTTATGAATAAGACCCCTCTTCAGCTGGAACCTCTCATATATATATATAGTAGGCAACTCATTAATCCAGCCATAGCTAGTAACTATGATCCAGGCATGAACAGGACAGYGAAGAGTGGCCGCATTAACGAGTTAACTTGTCAGATGATTTGCCGGAATTTAAAAATCTGGACTCAATCAAGCTGGCCGTGTTAAGTGGGCGGTCGGTGTAAGGGAGCRTTCCAACGTACAATCCTGGACATAAGTACTTGACAATTTCTCGCTTGGGCATTACAAATACTGTATCGTGTACATCGACTGAAAATATTCCCTTTCCCTACCCTCCCCCCCATATCAATGTTGCATGCAGGGGTTAATGAATGGACAGCGGGTGGGGACACGGGGAAGGTTTTATCGACGAATAGTGTGTTTACGTAAATATTGTCAACACTTATGTCCAAATTGTAGCTTCATTATGCACCTATTTCAAAAAACGTTGTCGTCGCCAGCAGGACACAGTCTTGAGCTTGCAAAGAATCTCGGGATTGCCTTATATAATTATATATAATTTGCAGGCTCAAGAATGTGGACTGTGTCCTGGTGACGACAATGTCTTTTGAAATAGGTGTATTTTTGCATTTTCAAACTAACATAATGAACGTTTTTGGTTACCTTACATGCCCACGTGCATCCAAGAATTTTGTGCGACTTTCTTACCTACGAAAAATGGCATATTTGATTTTGAACCAATCACAAAGCACCTTTCAACAAAGATTATTTGTAAGCCAAAAGAAAAGATCGCAAAGATTCACGGATGGACTCGGTCCTTTAAATCACCTCGGTAGCTTCCATATATGAGGGTCTCAATGGAGTTAACCGTGAGCCGTGAAACGGCTGAAAAATTAGCCGTTAGTCGTGAAAATGCGAAAAAAAGAGCCGTGAGGCGTGAATATTTTTTTATAGCGTGAGCCGGGATTCAGTTTTGTCCCTCAGAAGGACAGTCAACTTCTTTAGAACGCGCGGAGACCAAAAAGTCGCTTGGAAGCCTTTTCGAACAAATACTCGCAATGGGTGTTATTGAATCGACATCTTTTTTTATATTGCTGATAAAGTTATAAATATTTTTTAATTCTTAGATAGTATTTTTGGGATTTGTTTTTTACATTTTAAAACTCCCGCTCATTTAGTGCATTGAAGACCTTAATTGAGCGGGAGCCTTCATCACGCTAAGTGCGACAAGAAGAGTAAAGCTGCTCGAAATAGAACGTTATAATATAAATCGACATCTTTTTTTAGATTGCTAATAAAGATATAAAAGATTTTTTTTGCCAAAACAAAACTAGCACTCATTTAGTATGTTAGTACATCGAAGACTTTGAGCGGGAGCCGATCATATATCCACTTCGTAAAAAAAAGACGGTTCTCGGGAAAGTGAAACACAAGAGATGACAATAATTATGCAAAAATAAATAAATAAATAAAAAAAGATAAACAATAAATAAAATAAAAAGGAAAAAACAAAATCATTAAACGTCTCCTCCAGGGAATCGATCCCGCTACCGTCAAACCTACATTGGATTTGCAAGCGGCGCCTTAACGCGGTGCGCCACTGGATCACTCTCATTTACATAATAATAGACCATTTGACACTTTCACCGAATAGACTACCCCAATTTGACATTATACTTTCGATAGTTGCCTAGTTAGTGCAAGGGGTTATCCATCAGTGTCTAGGGGCCGGATAGCTTCTCCCTCACTGGCTTTTTAGTTAGCGCGAAGTTAGGACCAATTATCGGGATAGCATGGAAGAGCCGAAATCTCTAACCGGAATGTAAATCGATTCGCCGCCTCAGCTTCACAGAATGTCTCGGGGGAATCGTCCCAACCTTTTTTCGATTTTATGACCATGGGTTCGAATCTCAATACTCAAGTTTTTTCTTTTTTCATATTTGTTTTTTTTTTTGCTTTTTGTTGTTGTCTTTGAATTAGCTTCCTATGCATTAATATTTAAATACAAAATCTGCAGAATCATTCAGTTATTACTTCTATATATTTTCTATAATGTGATATAATTTTAAAGCGCGCTTTCATTGGCTTGTTTTCATTAAACGTATAATAGGTTTTCACAGCGCGGCGATTGCGCAACCGAGAATCAATTTTTAAACAGTGTGTCCGAGTTATGTTTGCTATTCGTACGGACATGGTATATATCTGACATTTTAAAGTAATTATATAAGATATCAATTTTAAAATACTATTATAATTTTGTTTAGAGTCAAATAATAATATGAATACGCTACAAACTTCCTGATTTTACCATGCACATTTAGCCCGGCATAGAATACATCATCTCGAAAAGCGACACTTGATGAAATTTCGTAAACTCCGATGTCAGACACGGACTGCAGCAATGTCAATACTATGTTCTCAATACCTGCTATGTTTAACACTTTTTGGATTTTTTTTGTGTATTATGAATTTATGATTAATCATTTTTTTGTGGAAATAATCGCATTTCGGCTTATTTGAAATAGAAAAATCCATGTCCGTACGAATAAGTCACGCAGTCTATTCATACGAAAAAAGAATCAAGCCGCCAATGGCGACACAACTCGAAGATTGTTAGACAAGTATACCGTGGACCGACATAAATCTGTATGTAGCCTCAGACTTTGTTTAGATGTGGTCTAATTTCGACAAAAAATCTATAAAATAAAAATATTGAACTTGAAATTTTGAATTTAATAATTTATATGCATCCGTAACCCGTAACACCTTAACGATATCGACAATGAATTATCAACACCATCACAATTTCATAGTTTGAAGTGATGATACTTTCACTTTAAATGCTGACCGTTAAAATTTATATTTTGCGCTCTTACTTGTTGTAGTGTTGTCCGTGCATCGATTTTTTACGAAGGATAAAGTTTATATGAATCGATGAGCATTAAATACTGATCGACATGGATCGGAATAATCCTTGAAATCATCGTAATAGAATTAATGCTGTATCTATGACCCCTATTGACACGATATCTCCTAAAACGACTTCTGAAATCAACAGATAGATTAATTGGTAAGAAGCTTATACAARAACGTCCAGACCTCAAAAATCACATTTTGCGTGTTTAAAATCAAAACACCTGGCCATCTTGGTTACGGATTTCTAAATGCCCGTATGTTTACAGAAAAAATAAGTGACCTATTAACTAGTCCATCTCACCTCACACACCATCATCTATCTCCCTCCTATAACTCTTCGATTGCTTCGCAATCTTCGAGTTAAAAAGCAATGAAAAACGTAATTCAAAAATTTCTAAAAGTAATCTAGTTAACCGTGATTCGAAAAAATTAGTCGTGAGTCGTGAAATCGCAAAATTTCTAGCAGTGAGTCGTGATGCGTACCACCCCATTTAGACCCTCATATATCATTTCGGTTTCATGATTGAACTAGACGATCATGGATCGCTTACGTGGGCTTCCTGTAGCTGCGACAATGGGTGAGCTGCCGCCATTGGGCTAATTTCATTTTCACGATACAGGCTTTGTTTGAAATAAGTCAAGACAGAATTAAGTTAATTAATATAGCTATTTACTACGACTTTTTACCGAACTGAACTCTAAGTAACATCTTGTATCCTGTCTTTCTCAGTTTTCCAAAATACGCTCTAAGAGCGTCTAGATTATTCAAAATATGCAAATTTTGTGAGATAAAATTTGGCCTGAAAGGTCATATCACCATAGTTTCGTAGTAGCTCCAGAGATAATAAACAATAGAAACGGTGCAGTCTTTGCAGTTTTCTCAGTATTATAACTTTGAGCAATATTTTGATCGTTTGTATTATCCGAGATAGTAAGAACTTTSAGTTCGTGGACCCGCACGTTTCAAAAATTACGCTGAAAATCTTTTAGTGTGGGCGTGTGAGAAGATAAAATCCGCAAAATTTGTATATGAGATCAGCGTTCTAGGGTTGATTTTCTTCATTTTCTTGATCATATTGCTTTTCGTGGTCACAAACCAGGTCACAGTAGCTATAAAGTGAATCTAGATATCGCGATCACGAGGCCGACTGAAGTAGTACAAAACAATGCATGTCAAAAATGAAAACAAAGCGCGGATTCATTTAGTTTAACATCCCCATGGAAACTGAGACTACAGACCATCTGCAACGCAGACGCTACCAATTTAAAACGTAATTTTCACGACGAAGACGACGACGAAGAAAAGACCAGTTGCATTTTTAGACGTGAGCTTCCACAGGAAGCCCACGTAAAAATACTGCGGTTCTGTGATGTACACTAACACTATTCATTGATTTTTCTTTAAAATAGGAGCAACCTTCTTAAAGTCCAAATATACTTCCAGGATCTCAACTACGAGTTGATCGAGGAAGAAATATCCTACCAGGTTTGCTATGCACTCTTTTTTACTTAGTTCGGGGTTGATTTAATTTCGTTTATATGTAATAACCTCATATGTAACCCAGTATTATAGAGCTCATTGAGCTTTGAACATCGATTGAACAACCCGGATCCTTAGGGCTGGTTCACACTATGACATAAGGAGAAGCATTAGCCGGGAAAAAAAGTAAAGACAAATGAATAAATTCAAGCATGCATCGAAAATAAAAACTGAAATTAACGTACGAGAAAACATAAGTTTATTAAATACATAGTAATAAACTGGTCTTCCTCATCCATTTTTTATAATTGATTTTTATAATGGACTAAAATCCCTAAAAGAGGGGAATGGTTTGGAAACCTTTTGTTGTACATCTTTTGTACGTATTTTGAGGTTGAATCAGTCATGACCGTGCACAACTTTTTTCTTACRCACGATGGAAATTGCAAAATGAGTGAACAATCTCTATAAGATTATGAAATGAAATATTTCAATATTTAGAAGAAATAGTCAAAAGAATAATTTTCGCTCTGTTTATTCAGATATGATTAGTATGCTCTTAGCTATTGCGCACCATCCAATTTTCAGAAGGAATCTTCGATTCGGGATTTGGGGAGCAAGGATGGCCGAGCGGTTAAAACGCCGGTCTATCACCGCTGTGGTCCTGGTTCGATTCCCGGTCCGGGACTATATGTGATTTGAGTTTGTAGGCTGGTTCTCTTCCTTGCTCCGAGGGTTTTTCTCCAGGTCCGCTGGTTTTCCTCCCTCAGTCAAGAAACTAGCTGTGAGGAGTGTCGTGTAGTAAAATAATGAATGTTGAGGTAGTGAGTATGAGTGAATATATATAGGGCCACAAGTTTATTAGTCTAGAGACTATTACGTGCTACCCTCTCAAAATAAAAGACTTTATTTATTAGATAGTTAGTAAACAAGAGATTTCACTACCTCACTTCTTGTTTTGGAGCGACACTTGATATCATAAAATGTATACTAAAGTTTTATAATGTTTTCAGATTGAGAACTTCGTATCTGACATTGGTGGTCAGCTTGGTCTGTGGCTTGGAGTCTCAGTTCTCAGTGGACTGGAAGTCATAGAGCTTGTGACTCTCCTGTTTTTTCATTTTTGCTGCAAAAAGGAGTCAAAACGGCGGAGAAATATTGTAAATGGCAAAAATGACAATCCATCGACTTCATTTCCCTTGACTTAATTGAATTAGGCAACCGACGTGTGGAGGTAATTTTGGCTACTTCCGTATGAATCAGCGTCGAGCTTTTGCCGTGCAGCATTRCTGACTCTGCCGTGCCAGTGCCGTGCTACGGTAGCTCCGAACTCAATTGATTCATACGTCGAGCTGTTCATGTGCTAAATTCAAACTATTTGGTTCGGCGCGACGCTGGCTCGACGTATGAACCGGGCCTTAGATTGTAATTATCTTATGATTTTCTATCAAACGTCTTTTAATAAGAACAAATTATAATAAAGGTTCATAAATATGAAATGATTGCTAGTGTCTGAGCTTATACTTTGATGGCTTGGTATCCTCTAGATGGCGTTTGAGTTTCTAGATGGCGTTTGAGTCTATCTGATGGAAAATAGGTCATTTGCAGGATTACGTTGTTAGAACTACCAGAATGCTCTGTGTATTTTCTTGGTTATTTTTTCGAGATTAGTAAAACAATACTCCATAGGGAAAACCGCTGCCTTATTTGATTACAGATTCTCTTGCGCAAAGAAATGGGCAAACACAAAAGAGAGGACTGAAAAATGTCGTTCTTACAATTGACTTGAAAATTTGGATTTTCCCCGAGTTTAGACTATTCCTGTATTACCATAARACTTAAGGTACGAGCCTTCTGGGAATACAGGGTTAGCCTCAACTCGGGGAAATGCAAATTGTTATCGCTATTGTACTAACAACATTTTCTCGTGCTTTCTTTTGTATTTAGTACGTTCATTACCTAAGAGAATCTGTTGTCATATAAAACAGCGGTTATTCGCTTTGATTTCGAAAATGGAGTATTGCGATTTAATACATTATAAACGATAGCTAAACGAAAGTGGGCAAAGCATTCTGGTAGTTATGATATATGAAATAACCATCATGAGTCTAACCACAGATCACGATTTCGTTTACAGTTCGATGCGTGCGAGGTAGCCTTGCTTTTGCACTAAATCGAGACTACTGATTAGCATACAACGACAGATACTATCTTTCACCCCTTCAAACGATCATGGACTAATGTCTTCAAGAACTCTGTGGTCGTTTCGTTTTGATTGAAACGCTTGCATAAAGGGCAAAAGAGCCTAGCATTACAATTACAAAATCATCAGAACAGTTCTTCTTTTCTTATGTTGCATTAAACCTCTGCTTCATCGTGCCGTAATGAAACGGCAGCCATCGTTCGATGCGCAGAGCTGGCTCGATGTATACTGATATTCCAATCTTGATTCCTTGAACAAATCAGTTTCTTGATCAGTATCTTGAACCCCTGTCTGTAATTATTGCTTTGAAGTGAATAAAGAAACGGATTGATTGACGAGTGCACAGGAAGTAGATAAATCATTACTCTTGCAAGGTTCACCATGTCTTGGTTGTATTTCCGTGCACCAGTAAGACCAAAGATTGATATCTGAAGTACACCGTACGGGACAAATGCAATGAAGAATACCACTGTAATAGTAATTAGCAGTTTAACCAGCTTTTTCTTTGCTAATAAATCCTCTTGAATTAACCCAGGATTTCCATGAGGCTTACAGATGGTCTTACTAAAATACAGTTCTGCAACAATCTTTGTGTAACAAAATGCAATAACAATGAATGGAATAATGGTCATAGTCAGAACAATCCCACCTACAGACACTAATAAGCTGCCGTTATTATTTCCAGGAGAACATCTTCTTTGATTAGGATCGAAGTCAATATAGATAAAAATTGGAAGATTCATAACCGCTGACACAATCCACACACCAACTATGACAAAAAGCACATTTTCCAAAGTGAGTCTTCTTGATATTTTCATTGGCTTCACCAACGCATGATAGCGCTCAACAGACAACACTGTTAGAGTAAGACTAGTCGCCATTAAAGCAATATTTGATAAAGTATTAGCATCAATGACTTTACAAAGGAAGCTGTTATCAAAGGGAATTGTCCTTGATAGTATCATGTGTATAGCAGTAAGCATCAACATGATGATGTCTGCAATTGCCACGTTAACAAGGAGAAGGTTCGTCGTTGTTTTCATGCTGTTGATCATCGCAACGATGATGACGACAAAAGAGTTTCCAATGATGCCAATTATGATTATGATGTGGATGATGATTACTGGCACTAGGTCAGTTCCTGATCTTGGAGATGAACCAGTAATATTTGTCGAAACGTTTACGACATTTTCGTTTAGAGACATAATAGTTCTTGAATTAGTTTTTTACACAAAAAAACTTCAGTATCTCTTTGTAATCGACTTCTACTAGAGCTAGTAGATAATGCAACAAAAGTGTAACGTTCTGAATATAATTAATTTGCTTGTTGAATTTTGCCCCCAGGGAATCTCACTGAATTGCTTGATCTTCTTGAATTTAACCTTGTACGTAAAACGGCAATTCAAATATCCATTCACCCACAGTTGATAGTTGAAATGGACAACGTTGATAGTTGGACCTGAAACAATGTCGACAGTATCTGCTTTTTTAACTCTGTTGTTCTAAATAAGCTTTTTACGGCCAACTCCTTTTTTCCAATTCCTTTTTGAACTTTCCCTGTTTCTCGTTGCAATTGGTTGCTCTTTATCTTGTTTTCACCAATTTAGCTACATCAAGACTTCGCCCCAAAATTAAGGTTTGGTTTTAGTCTTTAGTGCACTACAGGTTGAAAAACAACTCTCTTTGAGGGCGTCTTTTTTACTGCCTTACGAATTATTATTGTTCCTATATATGGCGTAATCTGTAGGTGAATTAAAGTGTTTGATGGAGCTTATTCTTTAATGGCTTTCTTTTCAAGTGTCTTTTTTATTTGCAATAAAGACCAATAAAGCTCTCTTTTCTTTTACCTCAGTGATGACTAATAATACGTGGTATGATGTTTCATGCACTACGGGCGATCCCAGACATTAATATCCTTAAAACCTCAACTGTGCTTTATTTCAACCTCAATTTCCACCTCAAGCTGATTCTGAAACAAAGAATTAGTTAGAGAATTAGGGGACAGGATGTCTCTGTTAATCTATAACACAACATGAGTCGCTGTGTCTAAAGATTAAATTGAGTAAAATATAAATGAAGCATTTAAAGCGGAAACGTCAAACCGGTGCAATAATAAAAAATAATGGAAGAGAAATGCAGCTTATTACCACATTTATGCGAATTCTCGAGCGCTGATTGGCTGATTGGAGTGTGTCAATGAAACGATATTCACACCGTGCTTACACCATCACGTCTCACCCGCCCACTTGACCAAAAAAAGAGAGCGACTTCTAAAAATATCCTACTAAGGCAAAACATATACGATACAATGGCTTTCTGTTTAGCAGGATTTGATTTTGCATTTGTTTTTTTTGTAGTATATCAAAAAAATACCCGTCTTCGACTGAGCTATTCATCAAGATGTTGTATTAAAACTTGTTCAAATATCCCAATTCGTGATTCCATTCTACCTTTTTTTTAATTAAAACCATAGACTAACAAACGTGCAGGAAGTACTATACGGAAATATGAAACAACACGTAAGATTGATGCTTACATCTGTTTAAGTTTATGATGTAATGAACAAATTGTGTCATTTGTTAAAATATTTACTTAGCTGCATCACAATACAATGCTCCGAACATCAACAACAATATTCTCTTACCGAGGACCTATCGTTAAAAAAACATGATGTTTTGAAGATAAGTTAAAATATTATTCAAGACTTTCCATACGCTGGTTCAGTGACCACGAAGAAAGCATTGAACCGAGGTGTCAAGGATCACGGATCACAAATCTTTTCTTTTATGCTCACTGTACCTTGACGCCTCGGTTCAATGCTTTGTTTATGGTCACTGAACCTGCGTATGGAAAGTCGTGAATACATGGTAGAGCTTTAATAATATAGCCGATGTCTGAAGTATGAAGCTTAAAGTTACATATACAACTATTTAAAAACGTTGTCGTCGCCAGAGCACAGTCAACAGCCTTGAGCCTGCAAAGAATCTCGGGATTACTATATATAATTCGTCATAGTTATTCAAAATTCTCGGTCTTGTAGCGAATATAGCTAGCTTTGAAGCTTGTTGACGGTTTAAAATCGTGGAACATTTCTCAAGGAAAGCGTCTCGTGGCGAGACACATATGCAAATATATTTTGAATATATCAATAACACATTGAAAGCCCAAGATTCTTTGCAGGTTGAAGGCTGTGGACTGTGGACTATGTCCAGGTACTACGACAACGTTTTTTGAAATAGGTGTAGATGAAATCGACTTATCATGAATAGCTCGAACGCATGCTCGTTGCTTATTTAGTCAGTTTGGCATATGGAACTTATTGCCATACATCGGGTGACATTTGCTTGGAATATTGTCCAGGCTCACTCATGCATCCATGCATGCATGTATATATGCATGTAATTTATTCATTTACTTCATGAAATATAATACAATGGAGTTAATTAATATTTTGTCGTCGATCGACCTCATTAACATCATCATCTGACCATTAAATACTATTAATAGCAAAGTCACCTCTAGAAAGGAAAGTACATGTACATATAATATCACAGTTACGTTCACTGACTGATATAAATTTTTCAAATATTGAATTAACACAAAACTGCATAGTTTTGAGTACATCTTCAACATATAATAAGAAAGCAATAATTTGAAAAATTCAAGTTTGATTTTTGTTGCTTGTGCCTACAGAAGTAGTCTCCTTTGCRTCCGTTCATCGTCGGGACAGGAATCCCGAAACGCAAACGGATGCGAAGCAACGCCAACTCTTCAAAGGCGAAAATACGTAATTKGATTTTTAAATTTTCTCACGAAAAATACACAACAATGTCACACATACATTTTATTTCTTAAATCCGGTGCTAGGTTTTTTATTAATAAAATAAGTTATACGCGAGGCCCAGTTTTTTGGAGCGAACTGTGGTGAAAACATGGATCGCCATACTATTTTAATGCTCAACTTCAACTCTTCAAGGGCAAAAATACGTGATTGGATTTTCGAATTTTCTCATGAAAAATACCCAGAAAGGTCGCATATAGATTTTATTTCTTAAATCCGGTGCTAGGTTTTTASGATTGTTTTTAATGTCGCCGCATTTCTTCAAAAAGCCTTGAAATCTGGYCTTTTTTCGTCAAATTTGGCACTTCATACGGACTGTCAGGTCAAGCTTGAGTGATCACGGACTATTTGTCCCCCATAAGTTCCATATGCTCGTGCCAGTCTCCCTAATCTAGATTTAAAAGCTCCTTGGTTTCGAGGATGTTTGTGAGAGCACGGAAGACCAATATAGTAATATCTCCTTCTAAAATAACTTATAAATCATTTATTTTTATTATTATCATTATTTATATATGATATAAATAAATAAGCAAGTGTAAACAAGTGCCTGCAAAGACAATATAAACAAATAACGAATTGAAAAAAAGCAAATCAGAAATTAAGAAATGGATAAAGAAAACGGAGAGAAAACAACGTCAAATTAACTTTAAATAAGAAATATTCCTACGAGTAATTCACCTTTAGAAATTCCAAGTTCAACGCCCTTTTTTCTCTCTTTCCTTATTTCTTTCGAGTCTATTATTTGAGCTAAAATTCTCTTTCGCAGATTAGATGTGCTCATTCTATCTTGACTGCTGAATAAGATATGCGTTGCGTGATGGTACTGTGAAAAAGCACTTTTCACTTACCAACTGAGTCAACTAATGATATTTGCTTTCAACAAAAAAACGCAAAAGACATGTCGAGCATCAATAGATAAGTCATGTATACAATCATAAAAACAATGGCTGGCGCGATGGATCCTGCTTTTAAAATGACAGGTTGTGTTATTCTTATGTACTTCCAGTAATAATATTTGCGAAGAATCAATATATAACGGGAAAATGTCATGAAACGTTCTTGGTTTTCTTTATTACCAATTTAATTTAATTTTGACGTGGACAGACTTTTTAAAAGAGTGTTTCAATGATAAAAAAGTGAATGCATGTATAGGAGAATTAATGAATAAATAAGGCAGAAAAGAATAAACCTCTATTTTTTGTGATGTAAGTAAATAACACTCGAGAGATGAGTACAATCGATGGATCAATGCATTACTGAATTACAATCAGGCCACTCAAGCCATTGTCGCTCTCATTATTCATATTCAATTTTCATTTCTTTCTTATCTTCTTGCAATTTCAAACGCTCTGTAAAGGCTAAATGAACCCCTCAGAACGACTCAGTACTCATTTTCCCATCACAAAACGGACAACCGCTATTTTCAAGGCCGTAGTCACGCAATACAGATTGATAAGGATTTCTAAAAGTGGGTCAGGTTTTATTGCTTTTCCAAGGAATGATATTCAAAAATGTGTACTCAGTAATGGTGAAATATCTAAAAGTCAGTTCGGTTGAGGCTTAATCAACTGTACCAGTTGTTACACCCCTGATTTTCTTGACGTATTGTCTTCTCAAAAAGACCTTATTTACCACAATAAAGAAAATATTAGGATGAGTGAGATTAATTGATAGTAAAAATAAATTAACACGTAGATGAATACATATGCACAGGTCAGGAAGTGGATTTGCAGCTTAAAAAAGGATCAATATTTTAGTTTACATATCTATGTTCACCGCATGTAACTGACAACTATTCCCGTACAAAGATCTGAGTTTTAACCTAAAAGTCAAGAAGAACACCCATTGCGAGTTGTCTAGATATACAGCGGACAGACAGACAGATATTTATGTACTACATTCATAGAAGCACTAACCATATGGCTCAGCGTTGTTCAAGTTCCATTCCATTAACATTTCGAAAGAATATACTGACCTCTTAAAGCTTTTGATTTGCACCAAGATACTCTCGACGATTGTAACTACAGTTTCGTGCGGACTGATTATAATTCTGAAGACTGAATTACATGCGACTTACAACAAAGCATTTAGATGTAAAAGATTGCCCAAGTCTACCGCTGTACCACAGTATTACAATAGCATTACAAGTACAAATATCATAGAGTACTTACGTAAGTTATATATAGGCGTCTGTGGTCAAAACTGAACAATGTACGCTCTCTGTGAATACAAAACAGCAGTATGACAGTGATGTCTTTATGTTGATGCTGTTTTCAATTAATACCATATATCAGTTTTCATCAATCAATGCTAAGCACGTATTAAAGTGCTGACAAACCAACATCTTAAGTAAGGTCTGACACAGACGGTAGTTTGGGAGAATTTTGTGGATCGATGTTTATAACTCGTCAATTTGACTCCACAAAAACTTAAAAAAGCGAAGAAGAGATGTTTTATCGAGGATAAGATAGAAAATGATCAGTCAGTTTGGCGTAGTAATGGCTCTTAATGGCAGTAGAAACTTCCAAAGTTATCTTTGAATGATAAGCATGCGAATTCTCCTCTACATAAAAACTATGAAGTAACGAAGATATATTTGTTGATATCTGTTTGTGAAATCATTTTCATTGGACAGTGCTATTAAAGCAGCTTATATTTGATTACGTGTAGACAAACTACTATGGTAATTGCGTAGCAAACAGATTTAATTGTCTGCAAATGATAGAAATGTAGATAAAATAGATTATATTTTCTTCCAGACACATCAAAACTGCCTTCTGGCAATGGGTTTTTAAACTTCCTTTTTGCGTCCGGCAAAACGGATATTACTCATGAGTCGATATTATTATCTTTTAAAAAATCGCCAAAAACAGCTCTTTGGTTCGTCAGTGAAAACAAAATCCTCTCTAGTTTGTAGCACTTGGTCGACAATAGATAACAATGAAGTCATTAACTTTAGTACTTAAAAGTGATTTATTTTAGATAAATATGAATGAACTATGTCACTGAACAACTACAAACATTCACAGATCAGATTCCAAGCAATCCGTTGAAGTTCGAAGTTGTGATAAACCAAATGCAGCCACTCCGCATTTCTCATTTTTGTATGACGTCACAGAATGACTAAGAACAAAGCTGCATAGGGAGTTTGAAAATTTACGCAAAATACAATAAATTTTAACAATAGATGCTCACTGACTGAAAGCGAACCAACATCTCACTGCCTTCCAACCTATTTATAAATGTTAATTGGATTTCAATGCTTATTTCATTTTACGACAGGAAATGACCATCTGGTGCTCTTGGAGTTAAATCAAATGCATATATCGATATATATATATATATATATCGATAACGCTGGTTGCCTTTTCTCATTACGCCAGGAACGTAAACAGTTTAATGTTGTGGGTTGACAATTGGATCGGTTGTGGGTGGACATAACCGACCATCAATAGATTCAATCTGACAAAGACAATCACAGCATTCGTCATGTCTGCTTACAAGGTTACCAAGGTTAAACATGAAGGTCAAACGTGAAAAGAGCTGAAAAAACAACTGATGAGGCGTTTTTAAAAATACTCTTTCTTATTGTCCTGTTTTTCTTTACTAACTGATTTGACTACTAGAACTGAACTATTAGATGTCGACTCATGTTTTTAAATTGCCTTGTGATCCGTCATGCTCCGCGTTTGAGGCTACATATACATATTAAAACAAAATGTGATTGCAATACCTGCTGGATATCGCGGAGCGTAAAGAATATCTTTACGACATTTACGTATCTTTACGACTTTTACGTAGTTTACGACGTTTACGTAGCTTTACGAAGTACGTACAATTATAATCTCAACGATATCTTCAAAGAAGAACGTACGTAAAGATCATTTTTCTGTGTTAGTGATTATCATTACGCTAGATCTGTGCATCTCATGATAAACGACTGTCTTTCCGTAGCTTCACGACGTCTGAATGGCGTCTTATGATAAGCTCCTTTACCTTACCTTACGCCGCATTAAATTTAATGTTAAATCTTCTTTAGGGTGAGGATGTTTGGATCAAAATATTTGCGCCGTAAATCCTTGTCATCCTTCGGTTAAGAAAATGATCGTTGCTAAAACTACCCACAAGTCACATACGACTACATACGAGTAACATACGACTACATACAACTACATACAGGTTACATACGACTACATACAGGTTACATACGAGTTACATACGACTACATACAGGTTACATACGAGTAACATACTACTACATACAGGTTACATACGACTACATACGAGCACAGAACTCAAAAATAACCTTGAAAATAATTTGTCTATATCTCTGGGACCCTGACAGAGTATCACGAAAAACTATATGTCCGAGAGTCAAAATAATTCACCAAAATCACAGTAGAATGTAAATCCAGGCTAATCAAAAGATACTTTACTGTATTTAGGTGTAGAATAGTCTTCCTTTTGACCACATTCAGTTGGCAATTCAAAGCGTCTTCACCGCTCGATCGGCATACAATCGACTCGGTTAGTTTCACGTCTCTGGACGAGCTCCCGTACAGAATTTCACGAGCGAAAAACTTTTGGCTAAATTTAGTTGAGCTTACTTCATTCGTTGAACAGAAAACAATACGAAAAAGAGAGTGAACTTTCTATAATTCGACATTAATGAAATTTTCCGATTATTTTTTTTTTCGACTAGATTTACTCCCGTAAAAAAAACAAATAGTTTTTCGTGACATTCTGTCCGGGAGTTCGTCCAGAGACGTAAAAAAACCTATAAGTGTCACATCGATTGTCAGCTGAATGTGGTCAAAAGGAAGACTATTCTACACAAATACAGTAAAGTATCTTTGATTAGACTGATTTGCATTCTACTGTGATTTTGGTGAATTATTTTGACTCCCGCGGACATACAGTTTTTTGTGATACTCTGTCAGGGTCCGGGACCGATGTAGACGAATTATTTCCAAGGTTATTTTTGTATTAAGTTTTTTTTTAATTTCTTGTACTTGTATGTAGTCGTATGTAGTAGTATGTTAATCGTATGTAACCTGTATGTAGTCGTATGTAACTCGTATGTAACCTGTATGTAGTCGTATGTAACCTGTATGTAGTCGTATGTAGTCGTATGTTACTCGTATGTAGTCGTATGTGACTTGTGGGTAGTTTTAGCAACGATCTTAAGAAAATCCATTTATGAAATAATATAGCCATTTTTTTCTATTTTAGCGAAAATTCAATGTAGAACACAAATCGTGAAAAATTAGATTAGATCGCACAACTAGAGCGCTCAATTTCCAGATGTCGGGTCGAAAAAAAATAAAAAAAATAAAAAAAATCGATATTTCGTTAACTATTAAGTCATTCTTTTATTTTCAGAACATATAGATGCTCGCAAAGGACCACGGCTGCCGACACCCTTTTATTGTTATTCATAAGATGCTATTTCTATTAAACTACGTGGACACTCTTGGCTAAAATTTTTCAGTATTTTCCAAGTGAATAAAAAAACATAGTGATGAGTATATATGTACACATTTAAGAACACGTACTGTTTAGATAACGAACGTGATATTCTGGACAGTTTATCGAAACCAAAGAGAACACAGTTCACATCCAAACACGCTAAATTGTCTAAAAACGCTGTAAACAAGGGAAGCTTGGCTATTAAACGTCACCTTAGATAAGGATGCGAGGAAAGTAAATAGTACTAAGAGAATACTAAATAAGTTAAATTGGAAGATTGAAGCCTTTATATCTGAATGACTACAGGCAAATGCAGCCTTTTCGTGCCTAATAATTGCTTTGACGATAAAAAACATCGAAGATTAAGCAACAATAAGTAATACCAGGAGAACACCAAATGACTCAAATTGGAACTGATTGAAGTTGTTATCTGAGTGACTGCAGGCAAATGCACTTCTTTGATTTTGAAGAAAACACCTTTTAAGGTGTCTTTTAAAATAGAGATGGCTGTTCAAAGATACAGAAAATATTTTCAAAGATTTAATAAAATTGATTAAGGAAAATTCAAATTTGAACGATGATGCTGATGATACTGAAAAAGCCGGATGAGGTTTAGTTAGAATAGGAGAAGATAACAAAAAGAAATAGAAAAAGTTTATCATGACGTTTTTGACAGTCAACGTCCCTTTTGATCGATGAAGAACAAGGACTCAAAAAATTACCTGAAAAAATTAGAAGAAGCCAGAAACAAAGGAAACAATTGAGTATAATGACTTAATGTGAACAGAAGTCATTTTTGGTCATTGAAGCCAGAAGAAGCTGAAGAAGAAAAAGAAAAAGAATAGAAGAAAAGAAGAAACAGAAGAAGAAAAATGAGAAGAAGAGAAAACTGAGAAAGACAAGAAAAAGAACAATAAAGAGAAGAATAAGAACAACAACGACAACAACAAGGAACAAAAACAAGTGCAAAAATACTGAAAGATTCCGTATACAAGAGAATGACAAAGAGAAAGATAAAAAAATGATATATTGTAGTCATATTGGCAGAAGTGGCATGTATGCTGTCACAAAGGAGAAGAATTTGAAGGAATAACGAGGCAGAGAATATTAATTTTCACTGCAATGTATGTCACTTCTGACAAAATA